TGTGCAAATGCAAAACTCACACAGCTCTACGAAAGTGTGCAGCTTTCACACATCTCCTGGGGATCTGTGCCGCATTAGTCAAAGGTTTAAACCCAGTGTATTCCCCACGAATAATCTTTTTCCCCTTCCCCCTCCTTCCTCCTGTCCACATCTAAATGCAGAATCCCCAGCTTCCTTGTCTCCAGTTTACAGATTATGTGATCCAAAGTGTCACTCACTGGATTACTGCACATAACCTGAGCACTACCCGAAGCTTACTTGTCTTCAACTTGTCCAGCATTACTTAAATGGAATTATCCGTCACAATCCATATACCGAATCTGCATAGCCCACTTATCTCAAGATTCTGTGTGTCACCTACCAGATTATCCGTTTTAATCCATACATTGAATCTACATAACATATGTCTTTAATTCATGGGCTCTGATGAGCTATAGTATCGCTGAATGGATTATTTCTCTTTATCCATTATTGGCAGTCCTAAAACCGTTCACTGCGTACTCTCTCATGCCCCATCTTCTGAACACATAAGCAAAATGAGAGTCTTCAGCAAACACAGCTCTATCACACATCAAACACAGCACCATATAATACCTACACCTGACACTTCACGTAACTTGGAACACAGTTTCTCGCACAAAACAAATGTCTGTGTTATCCTGAATTAAAGATTAGGATTGGTAGGCTAATCTTGCTTTCAATGACACTCATAAATCTGTGGTTACTCCACCACAGCCTTTGGAGTCACCTAGATTTAAGTGGATACAATGAAGAGCTGAGTTTAACCTAATGACCATCCCTTTCACAGTTAAGTGTAGAAAACACTTCACCTGAGTTGTTTACGAACTACCCTGCACAATAGAAAAGGGTTTTCAAACAACAACAAAAAAATCAGGTTCAGGCTTGCCCGGTCTTTCTTGAGAGATTCAGGCGCAATCGCTGTTAACAATGCCTTCCCTTCAACAGAAAACCAACTCAGAAAGATTGGAAACAAAAGTCTATTTAGCCTTTTGTTCTACATACCTATTCAAAATTAGCTAAGTGGAGAACATATAAAATATGCATTCTTATTTCTTGACAACTCTCAATAAACCAGAGATGGACAAGATTAGCAGGAAGGCTTTGTGCACACAGGGGAAGTTTTAAAAACTCATCGTGGCTAAAGCTGTCTCACACCAGCGTTAGCAAGGCTGTGAACCTCGTGATGCACCTGAGGGGTCAGCACTGTTTCTTGAGAGCTGCTCAGAGGAGACCAACACCAGTGAAAGAGAAGCTTCCTGTTAATTTTACATATGTAGGGATGGGCACTGACAAGAGTGTGGAAATACGTTTTTTATACCTTTCCCTACTGACAGCCTACCCCACGTGCTGCATCTGCTGCAGCTGGTTAACACTGCTTTGGAGGACAGCAGCCACTTTCACCCTGCAAGGCACAGCTATCAGGCAGCTACACTGACAGCAGAAAGGGGGTATAATTTTCCTTCCTGTAGATGATCGGTTTGAGACCTGAAGATCTCTCTGCTCCACTGAATCCAATAAACTGCATTATCCATGAATAATCCAGAGGCCTTTTGAGCCCTGTTTTTTGAATATGATGGATATAAGTAAGTTTGAACAGGCTTTACCCAATTCAATATACAGTTTTACAGCTTTACTTTAAAATACTTTGATTTAACGGCATGTTTTGTGGGTTTTACTATAGAGCGACTTGTTCTGAGCAGAGTAAAAATCCAAGGGATTTCAAGGCAGAATTTCTTAAGAAATTTTTAATGCCAAACTTGTATTATTTATTTAGCCCCAGACTATCTCTCTGAACAAACAGAGGCATTTGAGCTACAATTTCTATGGATACGAAAGGTTCTAGATTTTGCCCCATTTTAACACTATTCCCTTGCAGTACCTTTCAGTCAAGCCCTGGATTAAAAGAACACATTGCCTTTTCCATTAGTAACTGGACATATATAGATCCTTCTAACTGTGATCTTGAAGTTTGCAGCTGGATCTCTGCAGATGCTCAGTGATGGTTCTCCCGTTGCACAGGCATGCAGATAACAAAAGGGGGGGCTTAAAGTAGCTGCCGAAGGTAACAAAGCAACTAAGAGGAACAACTGAATACAAAACGTGGGAGTCTGGTGACTTCCAGCCATTCACCAACTCCCCCATCTTTAATAAAATATTGCTGCCTTCTAACTTAAAAGAAATCACACTAATAGAAAATAAAGCCTTCCTCTTCATCTCCTTTTCTTTTAATCTCTCCCAGAGAATAAAACTCAATGGTAATAACACAGACTGGGGCATTAACAATATGTAGCCTAGTGCTCAGACTTTAGCACATGACGTACTAAAACTCCCCCAGATCTAATGAAAAACACAATGAAATTTTGAACAGTTAAATGGAAAAAACTATTCAATGCATAAGACAGTTGGGCAGTACAGCTTCTAGCGCTGTCCACATTCCAGGGTGTATTAATAATAAGACGCTACTTTTGTGGGGTTTCCAAACATCACTAATAGAGACATGAGAAGGGAAAAATGCAGCTGGCAGGCCAAATACAGAGAGAAGTTAATTAAAAAATCACAACTGGAAAACTTAATAACTCTACGTTCCTATAGAAGGGCAAAAAACATTTTCTAGCATAATATATGTGTGTTTGTACACGCGTACGTGAGTATAAAGCAGCTCAACTTGCACACCTTTCATGCTGCCTCGCTAAATACAGCTGCAATACAGCTGAGCCATTGTTTGTTGGCCGCTCATGGCTGGCGGTGCCATGAAAACCGCATTCCTGGGCACTAAATAATCAGCCTGCCTGACCCCCCAAGAACCTGTAAGTCAAATTCATTTACCCCCAGAGGGCAATGCTCTATTGTATCCTCCCTCCTTTCTAGCCACCTAGGAACAATGGACAATAATTGCAACTGTCACGGCAGTCAGTAGGAAAAATAAACCAGTGCCTGTTTTCACAGCTTACTGCCAAACCTGATCCAAACACCTAATAACCATGCTCCCAACCATAGAACCACAGTTGCACTAAAAAGCCTCAGATGTGAGGCTTTTGAACAGAGCTACAGAACAATAACTCGACTTGTGCTCAAAATATGAAGCTAAAAAACAAAAACTAAAGCAAAGAAAACTCTTCTTTGAGGCTGTGCTGTTGCTCCCCATCCTCCCCCTCGGGCAAGACTGAAAGGACTGTTGAATTTCTCTCGTGGTAGCATATAGCTGGCTGCTGCCGCTTTCAAGTTTAGCTTGTGGAAAGGAGAGAGAGGAATGGAGAAAAAAGATTGCCCTCCAACAGAACAAGATCATAGGCACTGGGAACAGACCGCCTTCTCAGTGCACAAAACTTTTTAAGAGCAGCTTTACCGAGTCTAAAGGCATTGGAGAATCACTGGGAGTCCTTCTAAAGGCTCCAGCGTATCAAGAGTTAAAGACTGGCTCCAGACAACTTGCAAGAACTGCTGAAACACACAACCAAAAGTGGGTATGAAAGACATCTTGGTACTTTGGGCCTGAAACACCTAAAAGGTTCATCAGTTCACAAAAACGATGATGTTATTTTAAAACAATGTGCTTTTAAAAAGCAGAACTCGCGGGTAAGCCCAGTGGCCACCCTTCCTCTTTATGACCTGTTGCTTTACGCAAATGGAGTGGGAATAGAGATCCAGCGTTTGGCCCTCTGTTATAATAATATCTCAGCCTACTAGGGGCTGGAGCACTATATTCTGTTATAAAGTTATTCTACATATGTAATGAATATATATTTTTGAATTACAGCCTCTCAGGGAGAAGCCAGGGGAAGCAAGTGGCATATTTTCCTACTTGTGTAAGTCAGCGGACTAGCGCAAACTGAGCCGGTGGCTTATCGGTGACAAGCTGGAAGGCACATATAATTAAAATAACACTATCTTTGCACATGCACCAATACATTAACCTCTGGGAGCACGTCATGCTGTATGCTTGAACTAAATATTGCCCACCTCTTGCAGAAGAGGTCCCTAAATCTGTCAGGCACGAGGCTTGGGAGCCTGCCTGAGTGCGGATCTCTGTACCAGGGACAACATTAGTATGCAAACATACCAAAAATAATGGAGAGAAATGAAATCCAGTTTATAAACACAAAAGAAGGGTTTAATTTTAATCTCATTCTATTTTCACATTTCCAAAACAACATTGGCTTGGATTTTGCTACTCCAGATGTACACCGATACAAATGGGAGAAGAATCAGAGTCACTGTTTCTTTTCAGAGTGACAATGGCTGCTCTAGAAACTTAAAATTTTTGACACGTGTGTTTTGAGTCACTTCCTCATCATAAGCACTGCAGAGGAATTATGAAAATATTAAATTACATGAAAACAAACAACTACAGGTTCCCTAAAATGACCTCACATATATAAAATGGGGAAATATCTTGGCAAAGCAGAAGCTACTGCTGCTGGAGAGTGGTCAAATTTTGTCATTTTCCTTCTGGAGTACGGCTTTAAAAGAACATGCTTTAGTGCACAGATGTTGTACGCTGTCTTTTAAAATCTGCACTGGCTAATTTCAGTACCTAGAGGTATCATTACACAAACTTTGCTCTTTTTTTTTTTTCCTACATGCAAAAAAATAAAGAGAAAATCTACATCATCAAAATCTGTCTAAAAATTAACAAGGAATTCCGATCACCCTCAGATTTCAGAAGCTGAGCTCTGCTATACTCTGATACCACACGTTTGATATATGACTTGACTTTTTTTTTTCCAATCCAGCAAAAGGATGTCTTCGTTTATAACACAGAATGATATATGCAACAAAAGCTTTACGTAAGTTTGTTCACTCGGGGCAATATACCATTTCACTGATTTATATTATCACAGATGGGAGTACATACATTTCATTTAAACCCCAAATTACCATGTTTGAAGGGGAGGGGAAGAGGAGCAGACAAAGTTCCATAAAGCCAGTGGTATTTGTATATTCATTCTCAATTTCCTTTAGCACAGAAACAGCATTACCTTTTATTTCTCCAAAGTTCCCTGATCCCATGGCAAGAAGCTTGTCTTTCCAGTCCTTTGATAGTAGCTTTTCAATACTGGGAGTTTCTGAGTGAAGGGGGGGAAAAAAAATGTAAGCAAATCAACATGACTGTCTCCACAATAGAACTCATTAAAAGTCTATCTGCTAAAAATAAGGCCAACCCTATTCTGGGCCCCAGTTCATAATGACTTCATCAACAAACTGATAAGAGGGGAGGGAAGAGAAAAAAAAAAAAAAAGAATGTGTTTTGTCACCTGCTGTTTCAAAACCATTAGCTTTTTCCTCTAGTGGAACAAAGCTCCGGTAATTCTGTATGACAATGGGGCACATATAAACCTGCAGTTCATTGTTTTTCAATTTGGTGAACAAGTTGCTGCCTATAATGGATGCCTGTCAATTTCTGGGTGTTAGTCTGCAGTCAAAAAATAATTATGTTGATAAAATGCGGAGTAAAGAGACAGAGACAGAGAAAGAGAGAGAGAAGCAAAGAATTAGGTCCTAAATCTGCTACATGTAATTATATCCCTCTGAGCCTTTACAATTACTTCCACTTTATAATGTGTGTTTAAACATCGTGTGGTGGTAAGCATACTGTGGAAAGATTTTTCCGGTAACACGCACATTATAAATAATAATAAAAAGTTGGGTATGAAAAAAGCCTTAAAAGACTGCAAAATCCAGAGGGAGAAAAGGCATTGCTTAGAATGGAAACCCATTATTTGCTCATTTCAGATTCTATCACTTCCTTTAAAAATAAAATAAAATAAAATATATTTGTTCAGTATTTTCAGGAAAAATGCAGCGAGGGTGTGGATGGGTCTGATATTTATGTCTATAACTCTTGTGTTCTGACCTCTTTTTGTGTAGAATTTTAATGCATAAGTAAATATAAATGCTAATAAAATTCAGAGAACATTAAACTCAATTCCAAACAATGTAATTGTATATTCTTGTCAGCATTTAGATGGGTACACAATTACAATAGCTTTCAATCCCACGATTAGCATTGCATTCAGTTAGAAAATGGAGTGTACTAAAAGATAAGTGTCCCAGTATGTGCCATCTAAATAACAATACCCACACTTATTATCTGGATCTAAGACATATACTGCTATTCTCCACATTTGTGTTTATGTGTATTTGTATTTGTTCAGGCATTTGTTTACCCCCTACCAGGAGCATAAAGGGAGTACATGTTAACTTATCAAAGGGACCGTCTGGCCTAGAGACCATACAATTATTAGCAACTGGTTAATTTTCCCCACAGTAAAAACCATTACGAGCAACCTTCATTATCTCGTTTGGGCTAATTCCGCCTCCTTTCTTGAAGCCCCAACTTGAAGCTCGGAGGCGCTGCGGTTCCTCGGGGCGGCTCCGCCGGCCGCGCTCTCCCCGCCAAGCCCCGCCAAGCCCCGCAGAGCCCCCGCCGCTCCCGAGGGGCTGAGCGAGCCCGGGCTCCCCTCAAACCAGCCACCCGCAGTGCAGTGTCAGCGCCTGAGGAACCACAGCGACACGGGCACAGGGATGCCCCTCCTGCATCTCGCATCACCCCCGCCGCTGCCTCGCACACGGCTGTGCGCCGACAGGCAGACAGACGGACGGACAGCCAAGACGCGCGCCGGGCACAGCCCCACGCCTGCATCCCGCCGGGAGCGTAGCGACAAGCTACGGATCCCAGCGAACAGCACAGGAGGGTATTTTGTTCCGTGACATTTTTATTCGCGCTGCGGCACCCCGATCTCCTCCCCGTGCGCCCGCGGGCAGGGCCGCTCCCTGCGCTGATCCCCGGGCTCGCCCGAGTGCGATTTTTCTGACAGAATCCCTAAAAGCGCCATGAGATCCTAAGGAGGCGGGCGGGAGACGCTGCCGTGCAGAGTAGGGTCCGTGCCGGGGCTGCTGCCGCCGGGCTCCGGGCACTTGCGCAGCTATTGCTGAAGTTTGTCCGCCCCCTCGAAGCACCCACGAAGGAAACCATTTCCCCAGTGTGAATAGGTCAGATAAACGCCGCCACTTTTTTCCCCCCTCCCTTTAATATTTTATTTTTTTATTCCCCTGTGCTTTTCTAAAAACTCTGGAGCAGCGTGTAAACAGGCCGGAGCAAATGCGGTATTTGCGGCGGAGGGCTGTCAGTCATTAAAAGCCAACAAACCTTTGCAAAGCAGGAATGCGGCAATAGGGATCCATTGTGAGCTGACAATGGGCTCCAGAGCCTCCAGGCACTAAAAGCAGCCCGCCTTACTTTTAAGTCCATTGTCAGCAAAGTCCACGACAAAGCTTTTCCCCTGCAGCTAGACAAAATATTCGCCGCGGTGCGCTCGTAAAGAAACACAAGTCTTCTGTCTAACTTGCCGCCTTAAAGCTACAGTAGCCGCTCGCCGGGGCTGCCAGGGCCCCGCTGCCTCCCTCCCTACCTCCCGGTTTCCCTGCCTTGCCTCCCGGTTTCCCTGCCCGCCGCCCCCCGCCCCGCCCCTCCCCGCGGCCCCGAGTCACCGCTGCAGCCGCTCCGGGAGCGGCGCCGGGACGGGCCCGGTGTGACTTCCCCGAGGGGAGTGAGTTTGCGCTTTGTCGGTGAAACCCCGAGTGCCGGAGTGTCCCCCCCCCTCCGCCGGAGGGCTCGTGTTACAAACGAGTATCCCCCGCAACCCGACTCCGCCGGTGATTCCGGGAGAGCCGCGGACAAACGAGCGGGGGAATAATGAATGCGGTGGACGGCCATGTATCAATGACTGGATTTCTGCGAGAATGGTAAAGATCTCAGTAGGAAATCATGATTAGAGATGTGAAAGGCCAAATGGCAAAATCCCAATAGTAACAATGCATCTGTTCATTAATGTGTGAATATGAGTAATATGAAAATTTAACACAATTATAAGCCCCCTCAGCAATCCTGATGGCATAAAATAGATTGTGGTTATCTAATCAGCGTTTCCCCTGTTGAAATACTGTATGTTAACTATTCAAAATAATATTATATAGATTTTTTTCCCTTTAAAAACCCCCAAGCAATCATACTAAATTGATGTCCTAACTTAGTTTCAAACCTCTCTTGACTTGAACTGCAATTTTTACATAAGGCACTTCAACAGAATTTTGATACAGAATCAGCAAATAATCGTCCTTCTGCTAATACTTAAAAAGAACTTTAATTCTGAAAGACAATAGCTTCCCCACCCCTATAGCTTTATGGAGCTAAAGAGCTAAATTAAATTACAGCTTGTTTAATTCTATTATATACCATGTTAACATATTGTACTTACATAAAATATGCTATTCATATACTCAACCTATCACATTTCAGTAACTGCTTGTGAAATACATTATGCACCATATCTTGGAAAGAAACATTTATTATGTCATTTATGTACCCCATTAAAAAAAGATTTGAAATTTACACATCTTAAATAAAAATAACTGTTTAAAAGGTTACGACTGTAGAGGTTTCATGAATTATACAGAAACAAAGTCATCCTTTGTTCAGCTTTTTTTAGACTTGGTTGGGAAGATGATGCTCTCAAATTATGAAAAGAAATAAACGCTGTATCTTGTTTGCAAAGCACATGTTCTCTGGATTCATTAGAAAGTCAGTAAAACTTTTAATGCTTGCACATATAATGTGCAGCTTGAAACTGGGAAAAGGGGACCAGCACACAGGAACTGCTGCTCCTGATCCCTACTCCAACAGCTACTCTCCTCTTGGATTCCACAAAACAATGTTTCTACATCCAAAAACTGAGCTATATTCCGACAGATTTTGGATATGCATCAGGACAGCTATGTATTACAATAATCTGTATTTCCAAAAAGCTTCACATGATGTTTTGAGCATGATTATTCATAGTGCCTCCTAATTCCACTTTTGAGAGGAACTCAGAATTAGCCCCTTGCTGCCTTCTGAGCCCCACCTGAGCTAAGAATTCCCCTATCACCTATCTGCAGTGTTGGTCCTACAGCACACAATAAAACAATTCCAAGTCTATCCACAACACAATAGGAATAGGTCTACAATAGTTGTTCATTGGTTGTTTGTGAACAGTAATACTGTTTGGGAAACATTTTTGTTCCAGACACAACTATGAAAAGTGTTAAATGTTGTAGAGGACGATTATGGATAGGGCACCAAAGATAAGGACTGAGATGGAAAGAAGAACAGGATTCATTAAGTAAATGTTGGCGAAGAGGAGCCTGACTGAATCAACAGAGATAGAAATTAACCCACAAAAAATGATTTCTGCTGTCTCTATTCAACACATTTATCAGTCATTAGCTCTTTCTAGAGATACTTATGGCACGTTTTGTTTTTTTTCTTTCACCCTTGCCTCTGTTGCCTGCATATGCTTCTCCACATCACTGCGTATGGCAATACCCACTGGTGAGTGGCCCTCTGCCCGTGCCAGCAGCACACTGGTTCCTCGGTGCCCCCGGCCCCGCCACTCTCCCTCCGTGCCAAGCACCACCGAGACTGACTCCCTCATCTACAACAATGAGACTTGGAGACGGATGCCAGCAGCCAGCAATTCTCACACAGGCCTTCGTCACATGGAATTAAACCACTTCCTCGGTGGTACAGGAGTCCCACGTTCACTGCTCTGAGCTGCACATGGGTACACGTGCACTGAATGGCTCTAACACTACTGGAGAGCAAAACACCGAAGTAAATTAACATTAAATTTAGTCTAACTTTTTGTATGCTAACAAGCATGCCACTGCCCTTCTATTTCTGTATTTGATGTTTAAGTATAGCTTCATCGACTTATTTGCTAAAAGACCTGAAGTTTTCACACCAGGAAAGCAGCGGTTTTGTTTCCAGGAAGCGGACGAGGCTACAAAGCCATAGTAAGAGGGAGGCGCCATTTTTATCACCGTCTGCTAGACTTCTATTGAATTTAGTCTACTTCCAGAAGTTGTGTTAATTTTTTTCAAGCACTGTAACTCCCCTTTGGGAGTGACCAAATGCTACTCTCAATTCAGTGGCAGTGCAGATGCACGTGTGTGTACCTGAACCTTCCTCGGCAGCCTTCCAGAAACACAGTCCCACAGTACAGCATTCCCTTCAGGCCTAGCCTCT